CGTGCGAGCTCGGCTAACCTAACCCTCCGTCCATTTTCTGCTCATGGCGCATGCCCGGACCCCCTCAAGCTGCACGCACGCGCATCCTCGCCTGCGCGCGCACGGATTGGGATATATCTCAGCTTGAAGAGGGGCAGTCGGGATGGTGAAACGCCAGGGCGTGGAGCGGAGAATAGCTGGGGGATGCCGATATAATATATAATGCTATAAAAAGATTTCTGGCAATTCTACTTATTGATGGATACGGTTATGTAGGTACCTACTTGGGCTGCAAGTGGCGCTTCTGGTGGCCAAGAGCAGACAGGCAAGCAGGTTGAAAGTGAGGCCAGCCACGTGGGATTTTGACTCGGGGCGCCGCATGCCCGAGACGGCAGGCCATGTGCTTGAGACAGCCGCCGTCGGAGGCGTCAAGTGTTGTTCCCCACCTGCGATTGCTTGCAGAGAGCTGGCTGCTGCCCTCTTTGTCCTTGCCTTGACTCGGCCTTGTCGGCATGCGCTCGCGGCAGATGGGGCGCGCCCCCCCAGAGCAGCCGGGCCGGGAGGAGGCCCGAGTTTAGTGTCGGCAGTTGCGAGGCCAGCCAGCCTGCGGATGTGGGTGTCGTTGCCGGTCGGGCCTCCTCTCCGGCCGTCCCCACCCCAGCACTCAGCCAACAGTCGCCGGCAGCCCGAGAACGGGCGTCGTCCCCCGCAAATGATACTACTGTGACTTTTTTTTCACCGCGTAGCATCGCATCAAGCCAGACAGGGCCACTGGCCAAGGCAGCAACTGCCGACCCCGACGGGGAGCAACGCGCGGTCAGGTCAGGTCAGGTCCAGGCCCGCCGCCGCTATCAACTTGCCTCGTCGTCTGGAAACAATGCGACTGGCTTCTCGGGGGGTTGGCGGCAGCAGCACACAGGCCGGCGAGCACGCTAGAGTTACGCGCCTCTTTCTCTCCGTCCGTCTTTCTCTCTCATCTCCCATGCCGCTGCGGGCTTCCCGCCCGAGCGAGCAGACACCGTGCGCCGCGTTTGCTGCCCTTGCATGAGAGACGTGCTTCTAATTCCCCATCAGTCAGCCTGCATCCTTTCCTTGTCATGCCCCGCAGCGCTCGCCGCCAACATTGAATACTGGTCTGCCATGGAGTCCTGTCGTCTAGGGTTGAGAGGGGCCACATCGACTCAAGGGGGTGAGCGCATAACAAAACACACAGCCCATCATACCATCCGCCACATCCACATCCAGGTTTTTTCCTACCATTTTCCCACCGCTGCAGGAACGCCAAGATTCCACCTGAATGTCCATTGGAACCTTATTTTGCCTTGCCGTGTCCCCATTCACCCCATCGACTGCCGTCCTGAGCAAGGAAACGAAACAAACAAAGCACAATACATGCGGGGAGCTTTACATGCACACCCGGCCCGCATAGCGCGTCACGTTGAGAGACGGCGTGGGTCTGTCTGGTATACTCGAGACGTTGGCTTGCAAGTTCCAACCAGAGGGTCCCACCCAAAAGCAGGCAAAAAGACAGGAATCTCAGGCGCGACTGTGAGCCGGATACATTTTACAAATAAATAGGCCGTGGGTTGAGAGAGCCCAGTAATTCGACGTTGCAGCCTCGTTTATGGTTTACCTTGCTACTACCTTGGCTCTTGAAGCCTCCTAGGCCCTAAAGACCAGACGGCCAGGGCTCGTGTCTCCCATGTGGCGAGAGAACTATACAAGTGAAACAGGGAGACTGACGGAGGAGAAGATCACGCGAAGAAGGGGGATAGAAACAGCCGAGGGGAGGGGGCGTTGACGAGGCGCAAAAAAAAAGAAAAAGGAACAAAACGTTTATTGGTCTGGTTCGACAAAAAAAAACAAGAGAGACTATTGTTTCTCCATTGGGGGAGGCCCCGGCCCGCTCAGGTCGCAGGGGAGGCCTGTCCGCGGGCGCCCGCCGAGAGCGCGCCGTCCACGGCGCCGTCGAAGCTGAAAGCCTGTTGCAATCGAGCTCACTGGCACGCTGCAGGACTGGTGACTGGGGCTCGCTGCCTAGCAAGAAAAGCGCAGCGCCATGGCGGGGCCATGCTCACACTCGGGCGGCCGCAGATCCTTGGCCTGGCCGTTGTCGTATCGAACCGCAGGGGTCGGGGGGGGGACGGAAGCGCGAGCAATAAAGGAGGCTTGGTCCGTCAAAAGTCTAATAGTTGGTGGTCGTCGCAGGTCTCCACCTCCAAAAGCACGATCGCCGGCTGGCCATTCATTGTGTCGCG